TGAATTACATAAATTTTTAGAAAATCAGTATAATATTAATTAAAAATGACAAGAATTTATTTTTAAATAAAAAATCTCATCGGCGGCATATCGGGCGGCAATATCGGAAAATTATCGGGAATATGCACCTGGGATTATGTCAACACATACGTGCCAAAAAGCGAGAAGAATTTCTTGCTTGATGTTCCAAAATAATCCATTATATATTGAAAAAAATCATGCAATTTTCTCTTTTATTTTACAACAAACCATTAACAACGATGTTGCATTTTCAATGAAACGTACTTTGCTGAATGAATATCATCTCCGCCACAAGACTTTCGGATGAGGCAAAGAGAGAGAGAGAAAAGAGAGCTTCGCAAGTTCTTTCGTAAACATTGATGGGACGTCGAGTCGATTCCGAACGTCATCGTATCCAGCGTATCAATTGATGCGAAGCCGACATTGAATTAATTGAAAGTCGTTCGCCGTTGAAACGCTGCCGCGCGGGCTTCGCGTCATTTTGATATGGTTTTAATTAAACAACGGACATCGCGCGCCGAGAAGAGAGAGACGATCTCTCGAGAAGATCGGACCCGGAGCGCGATAGTACGTATTCGATGGACGGCAAGTGTACATTGGGTGGATGAGGGTAAGTGAGGAGGATGGAGGATGGAAAGACTGACAAGTGGAAGCTAGATGATTGAGGACGACGATGGTACGTTTAACGCGATTAAAAAACGTCGCATGGTCGATCAAAGGCAACGATCGCTCATGGCACGCGAAATTCATCGATTTTCGCTGGTAAAAGGACCACGATCTCATCGCTCGTACAATGTAGCTCGAAAAACGCCAGTTAAACGTTCGTCGTGTCTAAAAGTGCAGCGTGACTAACCGAGCGTGAAACTCTTTTCATCGCCTAAATATTTATGTGTAAATGAAGTTGGGATAAAGCTCGTTTATTCCGTGAAAAGTTATATGATTTCAGGACGCATCTCTCTATCTATGTATATAATAATAACATTTTAAATTTATCTTGCATAATGAGTCAAAAGAGGGGTATAATAATTATAATATTCACTGTCTTTCGTTTATATTTTAAAAAATTATATTTATCTTATGAGGAAAAAATATGGGAGGAATACATTTATTATTTTTTTTTTTTTATAAAATAGATGACAATAAAATCTTATTTGATCATCTAATAATCTCTAATATATTTATAACATTAAAATGTTATAAATATATTAGATTAAGTATTAGATTATTAAAATATATACTATTATATATATAAATAATTTTTTAATAGATTATTTTAATAGATAAATTAAAATTTTTATACTAGTTTCCTCAAATTTCAGCTGAATAATTTACCAAATTCGACACGTAATAATACGTAATATCAGAATGCAATAATAATTAAAATACATCGGGAATATTAGTAAAGCTTCGCACGGGAGGCGACCGTAGTTTAGATGAATTACTATTCGTCGATGGATTAGCAATACACTGCGTCAAGCCGTAATATTATAAAGTTGGTCGACCGGTTATTATAATAATAACTAGTTGGTACGTTTGAAATGTGGCGAGCACACACTCGTTGAACCGATGCCGTAATGTGAACCGTGTAAATTGTCGCAACGAAAACCAGATCATATACAGTGGCAACCAAATTTACGGTGTAATACAGTAATACGGTAAAATATTGACTTATAAAAATTAAACCGATTACGAAATATACAAAAGGTTAATACATATTATATAAATGTATATGTTGCATTAAATATTATTCTTTATTAATACTGTTTGCGCGTACGCTCGATTGCTGACGTTGAACGCTCACGCACGAAGCTACGGATCCTGACAATCGGGTTGTAAATCCGATCGTCGATATCCGTCTCGTGTATAGATTGCACAGGAAGATTCAAAGTGGACTGTATCTTAAGGAGGGTGGACGCGCTCCGATTGGTGCGCAGGATGGGTAACGATTTAAGCCACGTGCCGAATCGAGAACCAGAATACGGAATTATATGCACAATTACACAAAAACAATCCATTTATTAACTAAATTTGTCCGAGAGTCACAATGTACATAAACGCAAATTAATTTGAAACCTTTACATAAAATCTTTATCTATTAACGAATAAAATAGTCACCGCGAAAACACGTACGACGTGGTTGTTAAGCAGTCCGAAATGTCTCACTATATGGTATCTAGCATGTGTTGCATGGACACCACCGAAAAACTATTTGTTGCATAACAATTGCTAGTTACGATGAACACGCTCGAAACTCGTGTATCGAATCGTTCGAAATCTCACATTAAGATTTCGTACACGTTGCCGATTGCGGCGAATGCGATATTAAATCGCGAACCGAAATGTTTCAATTAACATGAAGAATCACTGATCACATAAATGTTACAGTGCGTTGAGCACCACGGGCTCGAAGGGATGAAAAAAAAGGAACGCAAACACAATCACGACATCAGGTATCAGTCCCAGATGACTGATCACGTGATCTGCGCGCTCCAACTCACGTGATCTACGCGTGCCAAGCGAACACGCGCGAGCCTCATGTATACAATTATTACGTTCGTGGAAACAATCGGACTTCGGCACCTTGATATTTCACCATTGCGTGAATTCTGGTCCCAAATCACTGAATTCCGCTTCGTTAACAATGTTTTGAGCGCAAATTTTATGTCGCGTATATAACGGCGCACCTTGTTGCTACCGTTAATTAGCGAATGTCAAAGTGAACGTATTTCACATCTCACTTATCACTGAATCACAGCAGAATATCAATCTGATTATTTTTTTTATTAATCAAACGAACTACGAACAATTAGAATCGCGACGGAAAACCCACATGTGACTAATCGCAAAGCCGTGCCAGGAGCGAATGCCCAGGTTCGATGACGAGGCAGTTCATCCCCGATCGATTCGATAATCGAACGCTTGAAGCGCGGCGTGTAGGTTCAGTGCGTGCTGCCCCGTGCCGGATTAACTCAAAAATTATAGAATTTCAAATTATCGACCTACTTCTTCATTCTCTTTGAACAAATAATAAAGTTCTTGACCTGGGGTCAACTTACTTCTGAACATACCGCCCGCCTCGAAATAAAGATTTCGAAATGTCTTACAGTAACTAAAGAACTTACCCCAGGTTTGGGTTTGTTTTTTTTTGTTACATAAAGAAAAAAAAAGAAAAAAATAAAACGTTAATCGCTTAATGATTTTTCGAGTGAGATTCAGTGATTACATATTGAACAATAACAGGCATTTGGTTGCTTACATGATTGAATAACAATATTAAGACATAGATTCTTACTAAACTTACATTAACGCGACGCGAGTGGTCTTGAGTAGTCAAGGATATTGAGCGCCGCCCGCCTTAACTAACTACGAAGGACTTGACTTGTCCTAATTATGCGAACGATTGAGACGTTGCATGCGCATTATGGAGTTGGGTTTTCCGCAGTACCTGTCTTACGTTCCGACAGTTGATCGATTAAGTTAATATCGATAGGTAGTAGGCACAATTTAGTTACTGGTCGCTTGTATTCGGACGTCGCTGTTTTAACTGAGACGACTCGAGTTAACCCGTCAGAGCCCGGATGACAATGAATAACTCGCCCTAATTCCCATTTACACGGTGGGAGAAGGGGGTTTTGAATCAAAACCATTGAGCCAACCTGAATCGGAGGCGTTTCTCGACGCCACTTTGATCTTTGTTGAAGAGTATTGACATAATCTGACTGCCACTGCTTCCAAAAACGCTCCGTAATCTGTCTGAGTAATTGCCATCGCGACAATCTGTTTTCGTTCAATTGTAGAACGGAAGGTTCCGGATTCGTAGTAATGGCAGTCCCAATCAAAAGGTGACCTGGGGTCAGGAACTCGTAGTCATCTGGAGTATCATTGAGTGGAGAAAGCGGCCTTGAGTTGAGGATAGCCTCAATTTTGCACAACACTGTCGTGAACTCCTCAAATGTCAATGCGTGTGAGCTTACAATTCGACGAAGGTGGTGTTTGACACTCTTCACTCCTGCCTCCCATAGTCCTCCAAAATGAGGAGCATGAGGCGGGATGAAACTCCAAGTGATCCTATCTGTTGCGATTAAATTGAGAAAATCCGTATTGCGTTGAGCATCCCGATACGCGCGGGATAGCTCTTTATCGGCTCCTGTGAATGTTGTACCGTTATCCGAATACATAACTGCTGGCAAGCCTCGTCTGGCGCAAAATCGTTGAAATGCGTTCAAAAATGCTGGCGTTGAATAATCGCTGACCAACTCGAGATGAATGGCTCGAGTTGCCAAACATATGAAAACGGCTATGTAAGCCTTTCGTGAGGTGATTCCTCGACCAGCAGAGGCTCGAATGAGCACTGGACCGGCATAATCGATGCCGCTGTGCAAAAACGCCCTCGTTGGCGTTGAGACTCGAGTTGATGGGAGTTGACCCATTAACTGATTGGCTACCTGAGCTCTTTCTCGCGTGCATCGAACGCACCTGTAGATAACTGATTTAACTAAAGGCCTAGATTTTATAATCCAAAATTCTTGGCGAATTTTAGACAGGGTAGACTGAAGACCGGCGTGCAGCGAGGCTATGTGCGTGTAGCGAATGAGCATTGTAGTAATTGGATGATCAGCTAGTAGAACTGGATGTTTGGATTGAAATGGTAGATGAGAATGCTCCAATCTTCCGCCAACGCGGAGTAGACCATTTGCGTCTAGGAATGGATTTAATGATATCAGAGCGCTGTTTCTTGATAACCTCTTGTTTGACTTGAGTAAGTAAAGTTCTTGCTTGAACACCTCTGCTTGAATCATATGCAACCAAAAGTTACGAGACTGCATGTACTCAAATGCTGTAATGGCGTGGGACCGGACGTGATCTTTGTGATCTGCCGCGTGCTTCCGTTGACATTTGTTTATGAATCGGTATATATATGCAGTGACGCGTATCAATTTTGGCCACCATGAATACCGTGCAGCAAGACTCCAGTCTTCACGAGTACTGTTTTGATGAGCTTCACATGCCTTCAGTTCCAACTGAGTTTCGTGGTGCTCTGATAGAATTTGATGAGGCCACTCATCAGAATGAAGATGCAACCATGACGGCCCATGCCACCATAGGTTGATGGATATCAAATCTCGGCCGAGTAATCCGCGCGAAGCACAGTCTGCGGGGTTTTCACTGGTGTTTACGTGATGCCAACTACCGGTTGGTAATCGTGTCTGAATTTCGGCTACTCTATGAGCTACGAAAGTTTTCCAATTTGAGGGGTGCTTCTTGAGCCATGCGAGAACTACAGTGGAGTCTGTCCAACAATAAATCGCAATGTCGCTTAAATGAAGTGACTGCTTGATAAAGTCAATCAAGCGAACTAGCAGAACGGCAGCAGAAAGTTCGAGGCGAGGAACCGTCATTGGTTTAAGAGACGCGACTTTAGATCGCCCAGCAATGAGCGAGACCGTAATTTTCCCAGAGGAGGATGTCACGCGTAAAAACACCACTGCTGCGTAAGCGATTGTGGATGCGTCCGCGAACCCGTGTAATTCCACAGTTGCCGTTCCGGACTCAAAACCTGTCCAGCGACTCAGTTGAATTTTTCGTAGATAGGGTAATGACTCGTAGATAGACTTCCAGGATGATAAGATTTCGTCCGGAATAATGTCGTCCCATCCGATACGGTGTCGCCATAATTGCTGCATGAGAGTTTTCGCCTTTAAAATCGCAGGTGTGACCCACCCGAGCGGGTCGAATAATCTTGCTATTGTTGATAGAATTGCTCGTTTGGTGTTAGGAACAGTTTCAGATAATGTAATTTGAAACTGAAAGCAGTCATGTTTCGGGTTCCAGACAATACCGAGGATTTTTAGACTGTCATCAGTCTCCAAATTTTTTGCGTAAGCCAATCCATGATTGTCAGGCTGAATATCTGAAAGCAATTCTGAGTGGTTACTGGCCCATTTCCGGAGATCGAAACCACCACGGTTCAGCAAATTACAAAGTTGAGTGCGAGCTTGCTTTAACAGTGTGATATCGTCTGCACCAAATAATACATCATCGACGTAGATGTTTTCTCTTAGGATGGGAGAGGCTAACGGAAATGAATCTCCCTCGTCACAGTTCAATTGTTGGATTACTCGAAGAGCAAGAAACGGTGCTGACGCAGTGCCGTAAGTAACGGTAAGGAGTTGATATTCCTGTATAGTTGAGTTGTGGTCGACCCACAGTATCCGTTGGTAGTCTCTATCTCTAGGATCGATTAATATTTGGCGATACATTTTAGCGATGTCCGCAGAATATACATATTTATATTGCCTCCAGCGCAATATAACTGCTTGTAGATCGGACTGCAATTTTGGGCCGGTGTACATGTGAAAGTTGAGAGACGTTCCATTGGATGTGAGGCAGGAGGCGTCGAACACGACTCTTAAACGGGTTGTCGAACTTGTCTCCTTGATGACTGGATGATGAGGTATATAGGTCGCTTGAACATTATTTGAATGCAAAGGAGCGACTTGCTTCATATGATTTAATTGCTCATATTCGCGCATGAAGTCCAAATATTCTTGTGCAAGTGTGGGTTGACGAGCAAATTTACGAATTAGCGACGAAAGTCGGCGTTCAGCTATGCTGCGAGAGTCGCCTATTTTAATAGGCGGGCCCTCTTTAAAAGGGAGTCGCACGACATATCTGCCATCTGCTGTTCTAGTATGCGTGCGTTGAAAGTGATCCTCGCATTGTTTATCTTCTATGGACGCATGAACATGTTGAGGAGTTTCTTCAACCTCCCAAAACTTACATAATTGCCGTTCCAAGGAGCAGCAGTGAGCAACTGCATGATACCTTTGTTGTGAACTGGGTAATGGTGAGCCTTGAGGTTGGGCTCCGACATGCGATGAAACCAAAGTAGAGCCGACTACATGGGTGTTTTGTATGACATGATTAGGGATTGACGTAGGTCCAGATAGAATCCACCCGAAATGCGATTGTATAGCGTCTGGTTGACCTATGGGTCCATTGCGTATATTGACAAGAACCTTGCTATACAAATCAGCTCCAATAATGAGGTCAATAGGAGTTGATCCAGTCGGATCGTCATCCGCTAAGGTCAAGTTGGAGATGTGTTTCCAGTCACGTAATGACGAAGCGTGTCTGGGAGCATACTTCGTCAATGCTCTCATGATGTAAGCTACCGTGGTGAAGGTTGGCTCAGGTTTATCGCGAGGCGAAATATTAATTAACGCGGCAGATCGGCATGTACCGGTATCTGCACAGCTAATCCCCGAAGTTGAAGTAAATGTTTGCATACGAGGTAAGCGTAAAATTTGCGCTACGCGTTCCGTAAGAAATGTGAGTTCTGAACCACCGTCAAGTAAGGCTCTGACAGTTAAGGAACGTCCAGAAAGCGAATGTATTTTCACCGTTGCCGTAGACAACACCACAGGAGTCGGTGATGTAGTTAACGTGACCGCTGAAAGCGCTGTGACATTTGATATATTAGTAACATTCTGCGAACTCGATGACGCAGGAATGCTCGTTGTTTGTTGCAATGAGCCCGAGTCAACGTGGATCATTGTGTGATGCCGCTTGCTACATTTGCGACACGTGAATTTACTCTGACAATTAAGTGCTACGTGCTTATCGCTTAAGCAATTGAAACATCGCTTAAGTTTCTTTATCAATTCGCGTCGTTGATCCGTGCTCATTGAAAGAAATTGTTGACACTTAGAGAGAAAGTGAGATTGTTTACAAATTGGACATGACAAATTAACTGACGCAGTTGCGGTGGCGCTTGTCACTCTCGAATGTGACTTCGTTTTATCGTGTTCGTGAGGATGGAGTTCCTCAAGCGCTATAGCGCGCGAAGATATGAAACGTATCAAGTCTTTGTACGTTGGAGGATTTTCGTTATCGCTACTCTTCAATTTCCACGCTCGACGCGTAGCAGAATCAAACTTTTGTGAAATGAAGTATACTAATATATCGCTTACAATATCCTCTGCTGTACGATCAAGACGTTTCAATGTCGCTAACGCTTGTTCCGTTTTATCTCGCAACTCGTGAAGTTCTGACGCTGATTCGCGAGTCATCTTTGGAAGATGATATAAGGTCGACACATGTACTTCGATCAACCGTCGTTTGTTCTCGAAACGCGTGGTTAACGCTTTCCACGCGACCTTAAAATTTTCGGCGGTTACTTTGATTCCTGATATCGCATCGCGGGCCGGACCTGTCAAACTAGAGATCAAAAAATGCATACGAGTGAAATTTGACAATTCTTTGTTATCTATAATCAACGACTGAAAACGGTCGCGAAAGGTCTCCCAATCCTCGTTTTTTCCAGAAAAAGGCGGTAATTTAATAGGAGGGAGATGCTTTAACGAGAATGACGATGCGTCCATTTGCGCAAAAGAAGTTTCGAGGGATGTATCTCGACTTACGACAGGAACCAGGTCTTCTAGACATTCGTTCATATGATCCAGGGCTGATTGATAGAGATCTTCGTGAAGGTCGAATTGATTCTTCTTGAAATAATTAATTGACCCTTGATCATCCTCTGGAACAAGTTGAAGCAGAATGGTGTGATTGTGCACACCTTGAGTCCATTGAGCTTGTAAAGTCGCAATCCGTGAGCGAACCCTTGCGGCCGTCAAATTAGAACGACCAATCTTTTTGAAATTGTCGAGAGCTCGAGCAATTGAGTGGAAGATAGTTTGCTGATTTGCAAGAGCGTCTTCCATTTTGACACTATAGTTGTTTATGAATATGTCACTAACACGATTGTCTACTTAAACGCGATTACTTGACTGACTGTATCTCGAATCACGCTGCACTTAAATATCACTGGTGTCCTTAATTCAGTGTTCTCGATTCGTCATTACTCTCCTATCCGGCTCGAAGGACCAAAAAATGTTTGCGCGTACGCTCGATTGCTGACGTTGAACGCTCACGCACGAAGCTACGGATCCTGACAATCGGGTTGTAAATCCGATCGTCGATATCCGTCTCGTGTATAGATTGCACAGGAAGATTCAAAGTGGACTGTATCTTAAGGAGGGTGGACGCGCTCCGATTGGTGCGCAGGATGGGTAACGATTTAAGCCACGTGCCGAATCGAGAACCAGAATACGGAATTATATGCACAATTACACAAAAACAATCCATTTATTAACTAAATTTGTCCGAGAGTCACAATGTACATAAACGCAAATTAATTTGAAACCTTTACATAAAATCTTTATCTATTAACGAATAAAATAGTCACCGCGAAAACACGTACGACGTGGTTGTTAAGCAGTCCGAAATGTCTCACTATATGGTATCTAGCATGTGTTGCATGGACACCACCGAAAAACTATTTGTTGCATAACAATTGCTAGTTACGATGAACACGCTCGAAACTCGTGTATCGAATCGTTCGAAATCTCACATTAAGATTTCGTACACGTTGCCGATTGCGGCGAATGCGATATTAAATCGCGAACCGAAATGTTTCAATTAACATGAAGAATCACTGATCACATAAATGTTACAGTGCGTTGAGCACCACGGGCTCGAAGGGATGAAAAAAAAGGAACGCAAACACAATCACGACATCAGGTATCAGTCCCAGATGACTGATCACGTGATCTGCGCGCTCCAACTCACGTGATCTACGCGTGCCAAGCGAACACGCGCGAGCCTCATGTATACAATTATTACGTTCGTGGAAACAATCGGACTTCGGCACCTTGATATTTCACCATTGCGTGAATTCTGGTCCCAAATCACTGAATTCCGCTTCGTTAACAATGTTTTGAGCGCAAATTTTATGTCGCGTATATAACGGCGCACCTTGTTGCTACCGTTAATTAGCGAATGTCAAAGTGAACGTATTTCACATCTCACTTATCACTGAATCACAGCAGAATATCAATCTGATTATTTTTTTTTTAATCAAACGAACTACGAACAATTAGAATCGCGACGGAAAACCCACATGTGACTAATCGCAAAGCCGTGCCAGGAGCGAATGCCCAGGTTCGATGACGAGGCAGTTCATCCCCGATCGATTCGATAATCGAACGCTTGAAGCGCGGCGTGTAGGTTCAGTGCGTGCTGCCCCGTGCCGGATTAACTCAAAAATTATAGAATTTCAAATTATCGACCTACTTCTTCATTCTCTTTGAACAAATAATAAAGTTCTTGACCTGGGGTCAACTTACTTCTGAACACTAATGATGTAATAATTATAAATATATATTGTGACGTGGTCGTCTCGACGCCGGTTCACGCCCCGACGCGGGGTCGAAAAGCCAAGCGCCGCGCCAAGAAGCGAAAGCGAGCAAGAGAGAGAGAGAGAGAGAGAGAGAGAGAGAGAGAGAGAGAGAGAGAGAGAGAGAGAGAGAGAGAGAGAGAGAGAGAGAGAGAGAGAGAGAGAGAGAGAGCAAGAGCAAACCCCGAGACACTTAGCGGCGCGAAAGAATATTATTATTAACGCGTTTCATTTTTATTTTTTTATATATCGTTTGGGAGCCTTGCTGAGAGAATTTATTTTGTAAGAAGAGATTAACAAAGAAGAGGAAAAAAGCGGCAAACAAAGAATCCGACGAAAACACCACGCATGGAACACGTGGCCCTACGAAAAGTCAGCACAACAACGGCCGCGGGGCGAGAGAACCGTAGGAGCGCGCCCACCAGCAGGCGCCAAGAAGGGCTCCAAGGACCCGCGGATAATCATCGCATCCCCGCTTCCTTCTTGCCAGAACTCCGTCGGCCGACGTATAATAAGGAGGTCGCCGTTCAAGGCCGCAAAAGCCTAGAAATAACGTGCCTCAGCGAGATTTATATGTTAAATTAATTGTCGCGAGGGGTACCAAAAGTACCCCGCACGTTGCGTTACTGTCACGCGAGTCGGGGAAAATCGCGGACAGCCCTAATTAGCTGTCGCGAATCCTACCCCTGACTCGCCGAATTCGCTCGGCTGCCGATACCGAGTCGGCAGATTGGCGCGACCGCTTACCGTCAGAAGACGTATTTAGAGAGACAGAGACCAAAAAACCGAGAGGACTAGAAAGATCGGGAGAATAGAGCCCCGAGGACAAGACGAGGATTCCCTTTCGGTGAGGCTACTCTGTTCGAGTAACACGCAAGTAACACCTCCGCATTGTGTACTTTCGAGTCTCGACCGTGCTGACGCGATCGCGTAATTTAGTGTCTTTTGTTAGTGTACGGGCTAAGCCCGTTATTAGAAATAATTTCGAGTTCGTGATTAGCCGAGAGCAATCGTGGCCAAGCGGCGAGTGATTTCGAAAATCTTTACGCGTCGTGGTTGCCTTCGCGACTCACTTCTCTCGGGGATTTATTGTCGTCGCGCTGTCTCACTTTTTGTCGCGTTTATTGTCGTGTTTGTATAATTGCGTTTTGCAAGAATGTCGAGCAAAGTATGTGTGAGCGAATAAGACGAATCGCGTAATAATTGTCGTTGTCCGTCGCGTAATTCGATTGTCGCGTGTAATTAAGAGAGAGCGAAGAACAAGCGAGATCGCGTGCGAGAACGCAAAAGCGACAAGGACGGAAAGTGTATGCGCGCGAGAGATCGAGACGGTGATAGCCGGGAACTGCCGGTCACTGACGAACTCGGCGTTACACGACAAATTATATCATTTTGTGGTGAGATCTTTGCTCTCAGATTATCCCTGAGGATCTTTCGGATCGGATTTCTGATTTTCTTGACTGCCGAATCCTTTGTCCGCTCTTTTATTGCATGTAATCTGTTATCACGTTGTCGCCCATCAGACATGTGTAAAGTTGCATTATTTAGCGAGCCAAGATTATCACATTATTTTGCGCCTTATGTATGTTGTCGTCTTTGTCGAAATCTCCGTGTCGTCGAGCCAACGTGTTATTCGATCTATCTTGTCAAGTACGAAATTTCTATCGAATCTATTCTTGAGTATTCCTATTTTTTTTTAATTATTATTTTGTGATAGATAGGCAAGGAGGCAAGGGAAGAAGTGACAAGATAGGTGGAGGAGTATGGGAGAGTGAGAGAGGAGGAGAGAAAGAGAAGAGAGCAAGGGTTGATAAAGTAGATAAGAGCGGCCAGTAAAGAAAGAAGAGTGGTAACAGCGGTTAACGAGAAAAGGCGTTAGGAGAAGCAGGGTGGAATGCAAACAGATGGAGCACGTGCTCAAAAGAAAATATCACACACATGGTGCACGCTCATAATTACATGTAATTATACGCAAGAAGCGGAGGTGAAGAGTAAGAGCTGACGAGAAGGAGAAGAAAATAAGGAGAAAGGAAAAGCGAAGGGAGTAGAGGGAGGTAAAAAATAAAAAGAGAGAAGAAAGAGGAGGAAAGATAATAATAAGAGGAGAAGGGCAGAAAGAAAGAAGGTACGGTGGTGAAATAGTTGAGGTTTATTGTGAGTGCCGGGACAAGGAGTTAGAGGTACAAGGTGGTGAGAGTGAGGCGAAAAGAATGCAGAGACAGGGAAGTAAAAGGAGTGTGAAAGAAGAAAGAAAATTGGGAGAAGTAAGAACTGCGGCTGCAAGGAGGAAATGAAGGAGTTAAGTAAAAAATTAAATAGAGTGGTTACGATGGTGGAGGAGATGGCAGGATGGATGAGGGAGAAAAGAGAAAAGGAAAGGAATAAAGACAGAGTGGTTAAGGTGGTGGAAAGTTAGCAGAATAGATAAAGGAAGAAAGAAAAAGAAGGAGGAAGAAAGAGGAAGAGAGAGAAGGAGGAAAAGGAAGAGAGAAGGTAAAAGAGGATGCAGAAAGAGGTGAAGATGAAGAAAATAAGAAGAGGGAAGGAAAAAAGAAAAAAGAGGAGAAGAGGAATGGAACGCAAAAGGAAGGGAGGAAAAAGAAAGGAGAAGAAGGAGAAAGAAGGAAACAGAGGAAAGAAGGAAGGAAGAAGAAAGGAAGGAAGGAAAAAGAAGAAGAAAATGGGGGAAAAGTGAAGGGAGAGGCGGAAGAGAAGGAAGAAGGCGGTAAGACAAAGGAAAAGGGTGAAAAAGAAGAGGGAAAGAGGTGTGAAGGGCAAGAGAATATACGTGACAGGATGGTGGAATGGTGAAGAAGAGAGGTAGAAGAGGAAGAAAAGAGAGAGTAGAAGAGAAAAAGGAGGGAAGAAAAGAAAAAGGTTAAGGAATAGAGAGAGAGGAGGAGGAAGGAAGGAGCATGGGGCGAGGAGGAAAAAAGAGGGAGAAGAAAGAGAACAAAGGAGGAAGTGAGTCAGGAGAGAAGGAAGAAAAGAGAAGAGGCGCGAGAAAGAACGAAGATGGGAAGAGAGCAGAGAATGCAAGGAGAGAATGAGAGGCAGAAAATACAAGAGGAGGAAGACAAGGAAAAGAGGAGGGAAAAGAATGAGGATAGGTAGAAGAAAGGAGAGGAAATCTGGAAGAAGATAGAAGAGAAAAAGAAGGAAAGGGAGGAGAGAGAAGATGGAAAAAAGGAAGGAAGAAGCAAGGAAGAAGAAGGAGGAGGAATGTTATATGGAGAGACCTGGATGGAGAAGATCAGGAAAAAAGGAGGGTATTGATGGAGAAGTTTATGGAGGTGGTGCTGGATAGGAAGTGGGGGTAGTAGGATCATCAGAAGTAAAAGGGGATGATGGGAGAATGTTGGTGATAGTGAAGATAGAAGATGAAAAGAACAAAAGAGAGTTGCTGAAAAATGGGAGAATGATGTGAAGAAGATGGGAGGTAGGGGTAGACAAGGATTTGACGAGGGAGGAGAGAAGGATTAGATGGCTGTTAGAAAAGGCAAGAAAGGAAAGGAGAAGAGGAAAGGAGGTGATGGTACGCGGAAAAAGGTGTATCATAAAAAACGATTCATTTCAATCTGTCTTTTGCGCGCGAATTTGGGACCGCGCCTTATCGTGCGTAGTAATATTCAGCAGAAAGCGTGCCTAGGAGCCTCCCACTCAGGCGAGCGGGCCAGAGCTAACTCGATTGCGGAAAGAAGCGGACGCACGCGTGAGGCGACACGTTTTCGAGAACAAAGGCGTCCAGTATATTTTTACCCGCGATAACGCTTTCAGTTATACCCTTAAATGCAACGAAATTAGCTTGTATTCTAACCAAAGCAAATAAATATTGTGAAAGAAGAAGAGTCAAAAATCTTTTCGACCACATCGTCGCTGACGCACTCTTTCCAGAGACACGTGTGGCGAGCACATGTTCTCAGCGTAATCATTACGCAACAAAGTTGGTCCTTTAAGCCGGATTTATTATCCGTTCATTTGTGCTTCGGAAGAAAAGTGTGGAAGAACCCGGGAATCAAACGGGCGAAATTCTCCACGCACTGTAAGCTTTCGGTATCGCAACAGGGATATAAAATTACATCGCCGCAACAGGCGATATCTACCACAGTACGATCTTCTGAACGGCTGGCATCATTCATGCAATCAGGCAGCTTCAAATATTTCAGAAGAAATCATCAACGGCATTCAGAAATTTATTCTGGACTACCAGACTGCAAGCACGACTAGCGACGCAGCGAGACCGACGTAACAAGGCGGCTTCCTCGAGATCGCGTCACGTGTAGACATTGCAGCGATCTCTACTATATCACGATTTTCCGGACGGCTAGCTGACGTTATCGACGCAATTAAGCGGCTTCTTTCTACATCGGGAAATTATCGACGGCATCCAGAAATTCATCCCGGACAACGAGACTGCAGGCACAACCACCAACGCAGCGAGAGCGGCACATCAAGGTGGCTTCCTCGAGATCGCGTTACGTGTAAACATTGCGGTAAGGGTGATTATTTCTTAGCAGCGCCAACCCGTATTCATTTCGTATTAACAAATAAACTCATTATCAATTCAATATGACTGATATCGCATCGCTCAAAAGACAGCGCGCGACCATCAAGGCTTCATATACGCGAGTCAAGACGTACGTAGATGCCATTGTTACTGTTACGCCGCCTATCGTAGCACAACTTGAAGAGCGTAAAAATAAATTAAACGAATATTGGTCGGATTACAATGACGTACAAACGCAAATCGAGTCACTCGACGAAAATGAAGCAAGTAATCGTGACAATTTTGAGGAGGCATTTTTTTTGTTATCTGGGAGCTCATTAAACCCGCATTACCAAACTTAACGGAAGGCTCACGGTCTTCATCATGCGCTTCTGACACGGTAGAAACTCATTCCAATGTTCGGTTGCCCAAACTAAATTTGCCGACATTTTCCGGAAAATACGATGAGTGGTTTCCTTTCACGATTCTTTCAATTCTATTATACATTCCAATCGCACGCTAAATAATATACAAAAACTACAATATTTGAAATCTGCGCTAACCGGTGATGCGAGCAGTGTCGTAAACTCTTTAGAAATTAACGATTTAAATTATGATATTGCGTGGAATCTTTTAAAGAAGCGCTACGATAATAAACGCGTTGTTGTACAAACTCATGTAAAGGCAATCATGGACTTGCCATCCATGCCTAAAGAAAATTTAGTTGATTTGCGACATATCGCTGACGGAGTGACTAAACACATCAAAGCATTGGAAGCGCTCGGGCATCCTACTTCACATTGAGACGACTTGATCGTGCATGTTTTAAGCTCCAAATTAGATACACTCACAATGCGAGAGTGGCAATCGTCACTGACTGGCACAAACCCTCCTACGTTCGAGGAATTTAACGATTTCATAATCCATCGATGTCAAATGCTTGAGACCCCGGGAAAAACAATTTCTTCATGCAACAAAAACGTTAATAAGCAGTTCAGCTTAAAGCGTCAAGCCTCATGTGTCGCGACGGTCAAGCCTAAATGTAATTTTTGTAATGGCAATCACGCCATATATTATTGCAAAGATTTTTTAGCGTTATTAATACACAGAGGATAACAGAGATTTGCAATCAAAAAATTTGCGGCAATTGCATGCGTTCTTCGTCTCATACGTCCGTCAAATGCACATCAAAGGGTTGCAGGGTATGTAATGCCAAGCACAATACGTTACTACATTTGACAAACAATTCAAGCGGAATACAGGAAGTCGAATCAACTAAGGCCAAGAAACCAATTCTGTAAGCTCATCGACGACGCTGGTGACGCACGCCTACAGCAACAACATTAAAAATCACATCATGCTCTCAAACCGCAGTGATTAAACACTTCCCACGCCAATGGATCAACGAGAACTTGCCGTGCGCTATTGGACAATGGGTCTCAGGCACTTTATCTCTACAGATTTTATGAAGCTACTCGGATTACGGTCTCGCCTTTAAATATTTCTATATCGGGCATAGGTGATACGACTACGAAATCTACTCACGTAGTCAGAGGTAAATTACAATCTCGGTACACCTCATATTCCGCTACAATTGACTGTATTGTTACAGATTGAATCACAGTGATCTTCCGGCTTTTACTATTAAACAAGAAGCATATAACCTTCTTTGCAATATCAAATTGGCAGATCCGGAGTTCAACATTTTGTCTAGCATTGATATATTGATTAGAGCCGAAGTATTTTTGGAATTATTATGCGTGGGACAAATTAGGAAACCTCTTCCGAATACTCGACATTGCAAAAAGTACGCAATTGGTTGATACTGGCTAA